TGTGTGTGTGTGTGTGTGTGTGTGTGTGTGTGTGTGTGTGTGTGTGTGTGTGTGTGTGTGTGTGTGTGTGTGTGTGTGTGTGTGTGTGTTTCTAACCAAGGCTTCTTTTTGTTTTCCTCTGGCTGCAGGCAAAGAGATGATCGAAATGTATTTTGACTTCCGCTTGTTTCGCCTGTGGAAAAGCCGCCAGCACTCCAAGCTACTGGACTACGACGACCTCTTGTGACACCACCCAATGTTCTGTTGGCTTGTCGGCCAGTTATTGCGAATCTGAGCCTACCTTTGTATGGTGTCAAGGCATTTGGTTGAAGTGGGGGGGCTCCTCTCCTCTCCAGAGAGGTTCCTAGACCGGCTCTGTGTGCGCAGCTAGAAGCTGGAGCAGCAGTGGAGGCAGCAGCAGTTGGGTCTGTTTTTGTAAGCCCTTCTGAAGCGACGGGGTGTGGCCCTGTAGATTCAGCCGGCGGTGTGCTTTCTCACCTGCACCTATTTTCACTTTCTGCCTCTGCCTAACCCTAGAAAAGAGAAAGAAGGGGGACAAGAGTGAGTTGGAGAAGCAAGTGACTCATCATCCTAGCCTAAATGTGTCAGAAACGCCAACTACACTTAGATTTCTGAGCTCAGAGAGACTATTAGATACAAGAGTGACAGTGGAGAATCTCTGTCTGAGATTTGAGGATGTTTTTTTCTTGTCCCACCTTTAGCCAACCTATCTACTCTTGTTAGGAGGCTTATAAGTATGGATTTATAAGTTATTTACAAAGGAATTAGAGCTTATATGTAAATAAACAAGTGCTTGCTAGAGCATTAGAGAATACATTTTCAGCATCTCTCGCCATGCTGTCATGTGATAATCTGGACATGTGATTAGTCTTATTAAGAATTAGAGTTGTCTATTTACTGCAGTCTTTTTTTAAACCTTCATATAAATGTAATAGTGTTTCTTACAGACTGTTGTAATAACTCAGGTCAAATTCTTTTGTTTTCTACTAAGAATTGTACTCACCTGTACAACATACTGTAGATCAGAATCAAAGGCCTTCATACTCCACACAGAGTCATCTTCAGTGGAACATCAGGGATGAGCGGAGCTTTTCTCCATTTTCATCTCGCCTTTTGAGTCAGCTGTAGCCAAACAGACAGATGCATCCATGCATATTTTTCATAACATTACAGCATTGTGTTTTAGCCCACTGAGCCACTGCTAGCTGATTTTTCTTGAGCTATTGGTTCGTGGGCTCAAAGCCTTTTGCAGTGTTTGTATTGCACATGTGCATTCAAACCCTTCTTGCATAGCTAGCCTCTAAAGAGGTTTCAGTTGGAGGCTGACATCAGACTCTTTACAGTGAGTGTAATATAGTGCATATTTAGTTCATTCCAACAGTTTTTCACATTTTTGGAGAACTTTCATTCTTTATTTAGCTTGGACATCCAGTGGAGTGGTAGGGGCGATGCGATCCTTTGACTTATTTTTGTTTCCCCTCACCACCAGCTTGTTGTTTCCATCTCAACATACTCTTAATCTTAATCATATAACAGCAACAATGTGTCCCAAACGCTGTCTTTGCCATGCTTATTTCCAGCATTACAGTCCACTGTAAAATGTTTTGCTGTAGCAAGATTTTAAAGATGCACAGGTGTGATTTTGTGTTTTGCTGCCCTACAGTTGGGGCGTTTCAGTCAGACTGACAAATGGTTCAAGCTGAGGCAGCAGAGGCTGAGATAGCTTCATCTTCATTCTTCTTGTTCCATTCGCAAGATCCTACATTTCCCACAATGCAACATGACTGCTTTTTTTCTTGAGCTCCTCTTGGAATGACAAATGTCTGAATTCTAAATTTAAACTTTGTGTGACACAAAGTTTTGCAGTACTGTTTTTCCTTTTCTTTCTTTCAAAAAAATGTGTCATCCAAGCTAAATGACATCATCTGTAGGAATATTAAGCTCCACTCAGGGGCTTAGTGTTGTGTAGATCAACAAATACAATAATGCCATATAGCTGATCATTGCACACTTAGTTTACAATAATAATAAAAGTTTTGGGGGACTGTGCTGTTTAGAAATACATGTACTGGTATTGAATATGAGTATTGAATATGAGTAAAAATGGACAGGATGAGTGATATTTACATTGTCTCATCTCAAACTTGTGCTGATGTGGTCATGTCCTCTGTTATATAATAACTTTTTCCTCCCTTCTGCACCCTCAGACCAAAGCACTCTTTCTTATCCGCAGCGCAAGCTGAGAAAAAGCGCTTTGTTTCTTGTTTCTTCTGTGCAGTTTGCTCGCAGAATGAAAATTAGTGTTTGGATTTGGGATGAGTTGTGATATTTTTAAAGTAAAGCAAGGTGTGTTGTTCATGATATGTTTACTAGTCTCTTATACTGTGTCCTGTCTGCATTGTAAACATAGTTCACTGCTTATTTTTCCACAAATTCCAAGCTTTGTTGCAGCTTCTTGGGCCATCCATGTCAGCTGACCTGGAATTAGTTTTCATGAAGCAGTCTTGATAGGTAGAAATTACAAAAGACCTCTGAAATCTATTTTATTTACTACATTTAACTACCAAACAGCTTAAAATATGTCCCTCTTGTTTAACTGTTATTGCGAGAGTTTTTGTGTTCATGGGACCGAAATCTCAAATTTAGAATAGTGGGTCATAATTATGAGTGGTATTGTATAAGCTGCAGAGATAAGGTCTCTTACATGTTTGATTGAATGCAATCTTCTTCTACATATACCTGTTACCATGACATTTGCTATGTTTGCTGTGTCTTAAATCACATACTTCTATATTTAAACTCATTAATTTGAGTTCGACATTGTGTTCAATATCAAGTACTGCTCCACAAAGTGCTGCTTGAGTACCTAGAAATGTGGAACATTTCTCAAGCTCAAGGGTCACTGTTAGCTAGCAGATAGACTGCTAGCCAACTGGTATTTATTTTTTGTTAAGGGTAGATTTTTTCTTCTTCAGGCACTGAAACTAGCTTTGTTAAATTGTTTTGCATATTGCAAATGCCATTAATGGTGAGTTCATGACTGGTCAGCTCTGATTTGAAACAAGCCTACCTGGTAAATCCATTTACTAAACAAGTAGCTATATAGTGTACATAAAGCACTAAATGAAAAAGTATTTGAATTGAGACACACTGTACTTAAACAGACAGGGATACAATGCTGCTACATACTCTTTTTATTCCACGAAGCATGTATCACCCAATCTCTGTCACAAGCATTGTGATAATTTGGTGTAATCAAAGGAAAAACGAAGACCTTTCTAGTTCCATGGCTGCTCCTGGTTTGCACCATTAAGTCACGCAGCATATTGTCTCACATGGCATCTGGGTCTTCGAATTACCTCAAATGCAGAGAGAACCAGGGATTTATTTGTTAGGGAATATTTAATGGTATTTTCTCTACTGCTACCTTTTTAATTTTCATAAATGTTATGCTCAGTAGAAAATATTGTACATTTTCATTGTACAGTTTGTGTTTTCTTTTTTTGTTTGGTGTTGGTGGATTACGTGTAAGGACTTCATTATACTTTCCATGTGAGTGAGTCTATTAGGCTCAGGTTGGGTCTAAATGATTTTGGTCATGAGACAGTGAGCCAGTCTATGCAGATGTCTGCATGGCTGGCTCGTTTTTGACTGTGGACACTGGAGATTTTACATTACTGGACAACAACCCGATGGCAGACTTCAAGGGGACGTGAAAGAATTACGACAGGGATGACTTCTTGGCCCTCATGTCTCCTGTACATGTCTGAAACATAGTATAATCAATGCTTGGAGCAACCCATCTAGGGCTGGACTCAGCGGTAGGGTTTGCGTTAATGTCCACCCTGTTTGATAGAATTTTCTTATTTGGAATATTCAAATGGAAAAGCTTTAAACAGAAAAAAATGTGCCTAAAACAATACCCAACCCTAAACCACCCCCAGGTGTGTCAGCGAAGATATGATGTTTATTAAGAGGTCAGTTTTAAGTGACCTCTAGTTTGAGTCCTTAACTGCAACATATTAGAAGCTGCGCCAGGTTGTTAACATTAATGCACAATATTGAGTGCTGACTGTGTTAGTGCTGTGGAAATGTGCATTATGCTAAACTGGTCATCTGTTCTAGAACAGGTAATCCCTCTCCTCCTTTGTTATTCAATCAGCCTTTGATTGTGTTTGCTGATCAAACCACCAACTGTTACTTCAAACAGGAGGCGGCTGTTCAGTATTTAAATTGTAGTAATATTTTACAGCCGTTGTGTACAGTCTGGCTAGTTTTGCCTGTTCACCTTGTTTACATTAACGTCAAAGTTAGTTGAGGTTGGTGTAAGTTAGTGTAACTCTCAGGCAATTATACAACTTTCAATGTTTCTTTTCCCTTTGTTCAGGCTTTATGAGCGTTTGGACTAATCATGTGAGGTCGTGCCTGTCCTTTGTGCCCAGTGATCTCTTTGCTTAAAGGTGGTTCTGATCTTAAAAATCGTTGTACATTCATGACTTTCCTTCATGAAGATATGTATTTGTTTAAAGATCAAATACTTTCCCAGTTTGTATTCTGTAGCAGTAATCAGTGTAAGAATATTTCTGTATTGGTATTTCAATTTGTATATTTGTATGTACAAGAGCATTGTTGGAGGTACTGTACGAGATAGCTTTGGATTTTAATGACTGTCTTACAATTCTGTGGACAGAAACAGACACTGCAGTGCGTGCAGTGTGCTCGCTGCTCAGCTTCTTTATATTCTGCAGCAGTTTAGCGCAGCCCCAGTTCTGCTCATACGACCCTCTTCTTTCTCCTCTGCTGCGAGTTTAAATAAAGGCCAAAGCCCAGAGCGTAATTACACACCTCTGTTCGACACTTGTAACCACATCTTAAGTCGAGGTGTTTAATCGTGCTCTTATACTAAAAACTGGCACAAGTTTGATGGATTTCTAATGAGTTTTCTGATAACAAAGACAACAGAGACTTTACTGGAGATTCATTATCTGCTGTCAAGCCCACAACATTTTCCCCATGGCTCTGATCAGATAAAACACTTAGCTCTCCTGCTGGAACATAACGCATCAGTGCTAACATTGAGGAAGAGCCCAAGCAGTGTAAAACAACTCGCAGACTTTGTAGACTAGAGCGGTTTTGAGTCACACTGAAGTATTTCATTCCCATGGCAAAGTCAGGTAATGTGGGACATCAGAGATAATAGGTCACATCTTTGAATATTACCAGTGAAACACCAAACAGAATTTTACAATGCTGCTACAAAAATCTTTTACATGAAACAATTAGGCTGATTGGTTTGAACTTACTAAGACGAGTTGAGCAAAGATTTTTATTTTTTTTTAAAAAGATCATTGTTCCAAAAACTTGCACTGTACTGAAAAATGATAGTTATAGTATATTATGTCATTTTGAGAAATATTCAAATAATAACCTTTGCTTTGAGGATAATTGCTTTAAGAAGCAGAGTGACTCTTCCATTAAGTAAATTGGGTCAAAAAGGTTAGACTACACGAGTTATTCTGCTGCTTGCCAGAATCGCAGGTTAGACATTTCTGGCATTTTTAGTGCTTAAAAATATGAAAGTTTACACAGTGACTACATATCAACCACAGTTATCTTGAACTGGCCATTGTTACATACACAGACTACGAAAACTCCAGTATCACAGAATCACACAATGAAAGTCAATAATTATGCTTTGTGATTGGAGTAGTAATTGCCTTTAATTTTTTGTGAAATGAAGGTGTAATCAATTTTCTTTCTCAGTTGTCCCCTTTCACTTTTGTTTGTCCCTATCATTTAAATATGATCAGCAAGTGGAGAAACCCCTAACCAAGGTCACATGAAATACTTCTGAAGATAATACTTTATCTAATGGGTGAAATTTTGTTTCCAAATATCTAAAATCACTTAGAGAAGCTTCAGTGTCAGGTATCTATAGGCTACTGGGTTTGTTACTACAGTATCCTCCCAATTCAGAAACAAAGCATACATTATTTCATTAACAATGTTATTGATCAGCAATATTGACCAGTGTCGCTTTAAGATAAAAAGATAAAAAACACCTGTACATATTGGCAGTGGAGAAAGCAGGAAACATATTTTTTAAAGGAGTTGAGCAGCGACTGCCTTGGCAAACTTCGGTTTGGGAAGCTTTGACAAAACTCTGGCATTAAAACATGACTCATGTCTGGGATGTTAAGCCTCTTCTAATAAGGTCAGGTATTCATATACGTGCAGATGTATTTCAGGGGGAAATGATCACACGCAGTTTGACTTCTCGTGATGGTTCACCGAAGCAGCCATTTCCATTTCTTGAGAGGATAATTACATAAATCAAGAGTTTGAGCTTTGCCTCCTCTCTTGTTATTTTCCACGTGAAATTGTGTGTCATATTGACAATTGCAAAGATCGCTCAAATTATTATTAAGCATTGTTGTGCCCTCCCTCCTGCTTTGTTCCAGTTTCAGTGAAGATTTCCAAGGCTCAGTTGGGAATGAGTGTGATGAGGATGATGAATTGACGCTGCTTTGATTGCCCTGACATCTCCAGTTGGGCTGTGATTGTATTTCTGGAAGTTTTGAAAATAATATGTCTATGTAATGTCTGTGTCATTTTGGATCAACTTCTAAATCATTTAACTGAGCATTACATTTTGGAATAGATTTTTTAGTCCAACACAGTAGAGTGTGAGATTTATAAATGTTACAGTGAGCTTCATCCATGTATATGGATAGAGAAAATCTTAAAGGTATGATAGCAATTAACATTACTGCATATAGTGATTTTGATACTAGCATAAGTTAAAACTATTATCTGGGTAGCTTTCCTGAGCTTTGGGGTTTCTTCCTTAGAATAGACATTAGAGAATGCTTCTTATTTCAAGGGCAATGTGTTGTATCTGAACTAATAGCAAGGAAATGTTTTTGCATTGCACAATGTTGGTAATAACCTGTGAGAAAAAGTATTGTTTCTACAGCATTTCCTCCCCCAAGTAAACTATAGTTAAACACAGCTTGTGTCTTTGTCTTATCATTGATTCAGTGGTGTCATTTTGGCCCCCAGGAAGTTTTACCTGGTTTACATTTCGTGTCGCTTCATAAGTAAAAAGATCCTCTCATGCTAAAAATGCAGGTTGGGTTGTGATGCCACAGTGCACTTTGGGATAAAAGTCCCCATCTTATTAAACTTTCTCTTTGTGTGCAGAATGCATGAAATTTTCTTCTGAGCACTCATGCAGTGAAATAGCCACATTAACATATTTAGCATAAAATTGTGCAAACATGTATCAGTTACAGAGTGTTGCTAAGGCTCTGTAATGCAGAAGTAAATGCTAAATCTAATATAGCAGCACAGTCACAATGATGCACTAACAAGGAACTTCTAACTACTCAAGAACATGCACTTTCTGGACCTCCAGTTTCACTGGGGGTACTCACAAGATCGTTCCAAATGAATAGGGACCTATGGAGTTGAAGCATAAAAATGTTCATTTTGTGGGGTAAATGTCCTTTTTTTCCACATAAATGGAAGCATTACAAGTACCTAGAGGATGGATGGCCATCAAATTCTGGTTCTCAGAGGATAAACTCGAAATACTTCAATAACACTTTAACATTTATCACACTTTGTCTTGTCATTTTCCATTTATGGTATGGAAAATGTCTGGATTACTATGGGCTGTGTTCCCATGGTGATTTTCAAAGCAGATTCACCATATTGCAGGTTGGGTTGTGATGCCACAGTGCACTTTGGGATTGGTTGGCATTGGTTGTTTTAAGATGTTAAAAAGCCAGAAGCGGAGTTTAGCAATGATAAATATTAGTGTGCATACAAAAAGACTTGGAATAATGATGCATATGATAATGTTTTCTTTTAAAGGCAAAAATACCCAATCACATTTGTCAAGACTGATATTGATGTAAAATTAAATATTACATAAATCAAAAATAAAATCTGTACAGTTATCCTAGTTCTCCAGAATCAGACAGAAATTATATACACCAGAGATTTTTGAAGTTCATAATATAGAAGCATCCTAGAGTACAAATATGCATATGCTGCTCTGCTGTGAGTATCAAATATAGTTATTGTGTTAACAGATGGAAGTAGCATATGTTCAGAGGCTGCAGTGATGCATTGTAAGCTGCAGCTACAAATTTTCCAGATGGAACAGCCATTGATAGCACGCAAGAACTCATAACTAGCTGTGTTGCAGACTAAGGTAACATGTTAAATGTGCAGGGCAATCAAAAACACGTCATTCTACTTTATTATGAACACACATCATGAATTCAGTACTACCCTACTCAGTTACACAGGGACACTGCAGCCAGCACATGTTGGCAGCCTTACAGCAACCACCATGTATGAATAATAGAAGAAAGGGTGGAGAGGACCAGACTACAGAAGCACAAGGCCAGAGTTAGTGCTCAACACTCAGGGGGGTCAAATTGCAGAAGTGTATGTGTGTACCATACCATACTCTACTCACAAGCAATTTATTATAGACCTGTTAAACTGCTCGTTAATACAAACGTCTAATCAGTCAGTCTATGGCACCACCTGCTTATCTTAGGCATGTAAACATGGTTGAGATGTTCTGCTGAATTTCCGCTGCAGTATTTTTTTGAAGAATAGGTGTTGCCACTCAGACACTACCTCCACATCAGTGCTGTGTTGTGTTTTTTCCAGGATATCTCTTCTTTTCAAACTGTTGCAACATCTCCCTTTGTATAATCTGTGAGTCTGTGAGCATCTGTACTGACATATCTTTATAAAAGCATTACAGCTGTATACAATTGTGTCTTCATCCCACAATGTGCAAGGTTATAAAAAT